TCTGGGCACCAGTGGATGGTGTAATGGTTACGTTGCTGGACTCCCACATGGCAGACCACAGTTCAAGTCCCAGACCTGGAGGCTTCAAATTCATGCCAGATGCATGTGTGTGCATGCACAAATTCCCGAGAAGAGAATAGAGGAGAAAGGATTGTGGCATGGCCTTCCCCAGGAAGGGAGGGCTTCTCACTTTCTGTCTCTCTCTCTCTGGTGAGCACATGCATCCCATGGCAAAAATCTCTCGGAAAAAAAAAATTACACAAGGCTTGAATATGTCCTGTTTTAAAATTCAGTTTTCGATTATTTTTATTTTTTTAATAGTTTTTTTAAATTTATTTAATTTTATTTATTCATTCATTTATTTTGACTAGAGAGAGACAGGCACACACACACACACAGAGGGGGTGGGAATGAGAAAGCAAGCCACCAGGTCCAGGACTTGAACCGTGGTCAGCCATGTGGGAGTGTCCAGCACCTTTACCACCATGCTACCTGCTGGTCCCAAGTCTTCAGTTATTTTTAAATTACACAAGCATGAATGTGTCCTTTTTAAAATATATTTACTTAATTTTATTTATTATTATGATTTTAATTTGATCAGAGATAGACACAGAGAGAGTGAGAGGGAAAATGAGAAAGCAAGCTGCTAGGTCCAGGACTTGAACTGCAGTTGGTCACGTGGGAGTCCAGCACCTCAACCACCACCCCAACTGCCGGCCCCGAATACATGCTATTTTAAAATTTGACAACGTCTTGCACAAATCCTGCTAGTACAGTTCCTTGCCCAGAAGTAGCCACTATCAGCAGTTTGGAGCATTGTTTTCAGGCCCCATTCTTTGCACTAACATACATATGTACACACATACATTATAGGTACATTGTATAAATACATATGCACACATACACACATATATACACAGAAGTCATTAGCAACAACCAGTAAAAAGTGGAAACTTACACAATTTCTCTCACATTTGATGTACATACATTATTTTATTTATTTATTTATTTATTTGAGAGATCCTTCCTATAAGGTGTGCACTTGCTGGAGAGAGAGAGGGAGACAGACAGAAAGCAAGAAATCACTCCCCAGGGGGGATGGCCACATGCAACCCCTTCTCCATCCTCCTCTCAGGATTTTGGGCACGCACACACATGCACCTGGCGTGAGATTTAAGTTGCTAGATCCAGGACTCAAATTGTGGTGGACTACGTGGGAGTCCAGCGACTTAACCATTACACCATCTGCTAGTCCCCAAAATCTCTACTTTTATCTGGTTATTGCTATTGATTTTTGTATATTTATCTTGTATCCAACCACTTTGCTAGGTTCTATTAGACTTTTTTTTTTTTTTTTAGACATTTTTACTTTTATTTTTATTTGACCAGAGAGGAACAAAGTGAGAGAGAGAGAGAGAGACAGAGAGAGAAGGAAAGCCACCAGGTCTGGGACTCAAACTGCGGTCTGCTATGTGGGATTCCAGTGCCCTTAACCGCCATGCCACTTGCCGGTCCCTATGCTATGTTTTTCATTGATTGTTAGATTATCTAGGGAATCATTTCATCTCCTAGTTTTCTTTACTTTCTAATTTTTATTATTTTTACTATAGGGCACATGCACTCACCAGAGATGGGGGCAGGGTAGTGAAAAAGCAGGCCCAAGTGATGGCCACACTACAACCCCTTCTCCTCTGTTCTCCTCTCAGGATTTGGGGCATGTACGTGCATACGCCTGGCATGTTTTTCAAGCCACCTCTGGGACTCAAACCATAGTTGGCCATGTGGGATCCAGCCACCTCAATTACCATGCCACCTACTGGCTCCTCCTAGTTTTCGTATTACAAATTTTAATGTCTGATTTTTTTGGATTAGATGGAATGTCATGAGATTGAATACTACAGACACAAGGGGACATCTGTGGTTTGGTGACTTTTAATAGCTTTAATAACTCTCTGCTGAATGGGTCCCTTGCTTTTGGCTCAAGTGTTAGAAACTCATTAGAAATACAGAATGTGTGGGGGAGGGGAGGCCAGCAGGTGGCATGATGATTAAGGCGCTGGGCACTCCCACATGGCCAGCCATGGTTCGAGTCCTGAACCGGGTGGCTTGCTTTCTCACTTTCCTTCTCTCTCTCTCTGTGTCTGTCTCTGGTCAAATTAAAATAAATTAATGACTAAGTAAAAATAAATAATTATTTTTTAAAAAAAAAAAGAAAGAAATACAGACTCTCAGGTCCTTCATAATAGAAATCTGCATTTCCCAGACGATTTCTACACACCGAAGGCTCAAGGGCACTGGTCTAGATGATTTCTCTCCATTCCGATTTAATGAAGAGTTCAGTGAGAAGAGCCATGACTGCTGGAAAGCTCTTAAAAATGGTGTCCTCCTCCTCTTTGTGGCTCTCCTGCATGTTAGTGCTCAATTTCCTGACTCCAGCCCTCACAGTCTCAGCCGCGCATCTGTCATTCCCTCACTCCTGTTTCTGCAGCTCCCTGGAGGAGGGCTGGGCTGGGCTCAGCTGGGCTGTGCTGCTCCCGGTCGGTCCCAGTGCCAGGGCTGGGAGCAGCACACAGTGGCTGCTCAGAAAGCATCGGACTTAGCTGGAAACCTTTTATGGCTCACCCAGGGTCCCTCTTCCCCTCTCTGCAGATGTGTTTAAATCTTGTTAAAATGGAAGTTCTTTCTCAGGACCACAGCTAGCTGGACCAGGGCGTCAGCATCTGATGGAAGGGCACCCATGTGCAGCTCTGTAGACCATCCAGAGTGTCCGTGGTGAGTGCTCGCAGTCAGGCCAGTCCTCACCGAATGAGGGCCCGGTGGACCCTGGGTAATCTTTGGGCCATGGAGTTAGAGACAGAAGGATGTGCAGAAAGCTCCTCTGGGGGGAGGCAGAAGCTAGAAGACCCTCAAAGAGGGGGTGAGCAGCAGCCAAGAGGCATGGGGTGGGGAGAGGAGTTCCGGAAATGCCGCCACAGGAGAAGAGCTCCAGGGAGAAGCAGCGTCACAGCTCGGGGAGTGGCAGCACTATGGTTGTCATTTAGCCGCAGCGTCTCAGGGGAGGCAGCCAGGAAGCCAGACACGACGGCGGACAGATGTCACTGTCACCCTGGAAGTGATCTAGGAAGCAGCAACACGCCAAGTAGCCACACGAAGCTCTGCACGTGGGTTTGCGCTGACCGGCAAGACAGCAGCCTTGATTTC